GAATCAAGAAGCGGAAGCAGCATTTGAAGCCTTGAAGACATCGTTTGTCTCTGCACCAGTCTTATATCGTGTTGATTTTTCCAAGGCATTTTTTATGGAAACAGATGCATCAGATTTTGCCTTGGGTGCAGTTTTATCACAAATGGGAATAGATGACAAACTTCATCCGATAGCTTTTCATTCAAGAAAATTCTCAGCAGCCGAGATCAATTATGAGATCCACGATAAAGAACTTCTTGCGATCATGGATTCCTTTCAAGAATGGCATCATTATCTAGAAGGCACTTCTAGTCCAGTCACTGTGTATACAGATCACAAGAACCTCGAGTATTTCATGTCAGCACGCGTGTTGAATCGTCGTCAAGCTCGTTGGAGTATGTCTTTGTCAAGATTCGAGTTCATTATCACTTATCGGCCAGGAAAACAACAAGGTTTGTCTGATGCCCTATCTAGACGTTCTTATTTTGCACCAAAAGAAGGAGATGCAGCTTTTGAGCAACAAAGAACGGTCCTCTTGAAACCGGAGCAATTTCATCTCCGAGCAATGAAATCAACATTGACTGTTGATTCAAATTTTCTCAAGCAAATCCAGTCCAGTATGTCCTCAGACCCTCTTGTTTATGATATCGAGAATAATTCTTCCAAGTCTCATGATCCTTCTAAGTTCGAGTTCAAGAATAATCTATTATATTTTGAAGGACGCCTATATGTTCCAGAAGGAGAAGCACGTTTACGTGTTCTTCAAGCACGTCATGACTTTGCAGCAGCAGGGCACTTTGGATATAATAAGACTTTGGAACTCATATCAAGAGATTTTTGGTGGCCACAAATGTGGAAGTCAGTCAAAGACTTTGTACAATCATGTGATATTTGTTCAAGATCAAAAATTCCTCGTCATCGACCTTACGGACTTCTTCAGCCATTACCTATACCAGAACAACCATGGTCTTCTGTTTCTATGGATTTCATCACAGATCTTCCAAGCTCAAGATCTTATGATTCTATATTTGTGATAGTAGATCGTTTCACCAAGATGGCACATTTTGTGCCATGTACAAAATCTATCACAGGTGAAGAAACAGCTAAGCTTTTCATTGATAATATCTATCGCTATCATGGATTACCTAAAGATATCATATTAGATAGGGGAACTCAATTTGTGTCAAGATTTTGGAGGACCCTTTTCAAGATTTTAAAAGTGGACATAAAGCTATCTTCCGCTTTCCATCCTCAAACTGATGGACAAACAGAGCACGTAAACCAAGTCTTGGAGTAATATTTAAGGTGTACTATCAACTACCAACAAGATGATTGGACAACCCTTCTACCATTGGCAGAGTTTGCTTATAATAATACGGTACATTCTTCCACACAACAAACACCTTTCTTTGCCAATTATGGCTATCATCCACGACTTGATACTTTTGATTTTTCAAAAGTTGATAATCCTGCAGCAAAAGATATGGCAAATCGGTTGTCAGAGTTACATGCAATAATGAAGACACAATTGAAGGAAGCTCAAGAACGACAAAAGATAAACGCAGATCTATATCGTAAGGAGCAACCACAAATCAACGTGGATGATAAGGTATGGCTACTTCGTCGCAATATCAAGACTACTCGACCTTGTGACAAGTTGGACTATCGTAGGCTTGGCCCCTTTTCTGTTTCTGAACAGATCAACCCAGTTGCATATCGGTTACATCTACCGGAGTCAATGAATATCCATCTTGTATTCCACGTGTCTCTTCTTGAACCATATAAGACAGTGGATATACAAGGAAGAAGACAAATGCCACCGCCTCCTATAGAAGTAGATAATAATGAAGAATTTGAGGTGGAAGAGATATTAGACTCAAGGCGGTGCCGAAATAAGCTGGAATATCTTGTTCATTGGCGCGGATATGATATTAGTGAACGCACATGGGAGCCATCCAGGAATCTAGGAAATGCATCAGCTAAAGTCAAAGTTTTTCATCAACGACATCCATCAAAACCAAGATGAAAATCTCTCTTATAAAAGAGACAAGATTGAGGCAAGATAACATTCAATTTCCTATCCTTGTTTGTAACTTCTTTGCATTTGTGACACTAATTAGATGGAGAGCCAACAACCAGCGGATTCAACTCAAGAACCTTCGTTTGCTGACCTGCCGGACGAGACATTACGATTGTCACAACCTTCAAGACGACGCAATCGAGATGAAGATCTTCAAGAACGACATGTTCTTCCTCGAACAGATGGTGAGATACAACGCGTTTGGTATCACGATTTGGGAAGGGACTCTCGATGTTTGGTGATTTTGCTAGAGGTAGGAACAACTCCTGATGGTGTTCCGAATATTCTATTCGAAGGAAGTTACGAAGGCCTCAACAATGATCAAATAACTGGGTGGTCTTCCCACCCTGGTATGGGACACTACCGATGGTTGAGAAGCCCTATCAATCATCTTCGAAGAGAACAGAGATCAGAGTATGTGGCGAATACAATTCGTCGCATCATAGATTTCCTCAACATATGATGACCGCTCCTCGTGGAACTTGTCTCTAGAAAGGGGGGTAATGTCACGGCCATAATCATGTAAGCTAATAATTACATATAGAAATAGGTAGAAGTAAGTAAAAGTAGATAAAAGTAAGTTAATTCTATAATATTTAATATAGAAGCTTCCTAAAAACTTCATAGACGCTGCTTTGACTTCATAGGTGTCTTTAATTGAATTTTTGGATTAGAAACATGGTCAACAAGTTGGCCATGTGCCACACATGTTGTTAGCTTGAAGATCAAGCTAACTATGTGGCCCACACGTAGAAAAACTTGCCTTGTAAGTCAAGGCATGTGTCCTACAAAGTCAACACATATTGGAGGTCCTATAGAACGTCGCCACGTAGCCCCTAGTTAGATAGTATATATAGAGACAAGAGTGAAGGCTTCTTCACTCTTGTCAACTCCTTTCTTGCTTCTAGTCCAGGTTCAAGAGTCTTTAGTTTCTTGTCTTGTGGCAATAGCCATTCCAGTTTCCTTTTAATATACCTACTTGTTTATATTTTGACTTATTATATCGAGATAGCCTTTTGGTGTATATTTTTCATCATCGAGTCTTTGTCCTTGACATAGAGTCATCTAAAATAACTTTAATTTTACTTGGATCTAATAATAGTCTTTTTTTTATAGATGAATGACAATATTTTCTTTTGAATTCTTTCAATAATTCTTTCAATAATTGCTTGAAGATTCTTTTTAGGTCTTTCAATCCAATCAAAAAATGGCTTCTTTGTAATCCAATTACTATCTTTTAAGAAAAACTTATCCTTCAATGTTTGAAAAAATTTCTCCCATGAACCTCCAAAATGTCTTATAATGGACTTTATATGATTTCTTATTTGTGGTGCATGGGCTAATTCAAATAACTGAACCATCTCTTTCTTAGAAATATACTTCAATTCCATTTTTTTTACATAACACCTTAAATACTTTAGAATATCCTTCCTTTCAAATTAATCAATCTTGTCCACAACGGCTTAAATGCTTTGTTTGCCATACCTTCTTTGAAATTTTTAACTTATTGTTATTGTATGAATAAAGCAAAAGCTTCAAACATGCTTGCAAAGTTGGGATCAAAATATATATTTTGTCCTCGACTTATAGCTCCACTTCCAACTCTACATGAAGCATTAATTGAAGTACCACCAAAAGTTCCTCCATCTATTGGTTTTTTTTTTTTTTTTTTTTTTTTTTTTCTATAATTCAAATAAATAAAAAAAAATCTAAATACCTTCTACCTCAAGCTTTTTATGTTGGCATCACCAAATTATGTCATATTATGTGAAGTTTGCTTTCAAATTCTACGATCTAATTTTCTAAAAGAACCCCAGAGTTGCCATACATGCTTAGTTTTGTGCCTTGGAATTAGATTTTGACCTTGGTTGGCAATTGGTCTTTTTTGGATATCAATTCTTATCTTTTTTAGGAATTTTTGCTTAAATCAATTTCTAACTCCTTCTTATATATGCCTATATCTTTTATTGTCAAAGATAAGAATTTGATGAAAGCAAATAAATAAGGGGAACTTTCTCAAAGAAGTATGACAAAATAGAAATAAGGAAGTATATATATTAAAAATGAAATTGGAATGGATATTGCTAAAAAATAAGAAAACTAGAGACTCTTGAAAGTAGACTAGAAGCAAAAAAAATGAATTGACAAGAATAAAGAAGGCTTCACTCTTGCCTCTATATATACTATTTATATAGGAGCTATGTAGCGACATTCTATAGGACCTCCAAAACATATTGACTTTGCACAACACGTATTTTAACTTACAAGGCAAGTTTTCTATATGAGCATTACATAGTTAGCTTGTTTCACAAGCTACCAATATGTGTGGCATGTGGTTATCTTGTTGATAAAGTTTTTAATTTATCAATCAACTACAAATACATGTAAAGTCAAAGCAACATCTATGAAGCTTTTAAGAAGCTTCTTTAGAAGATATTATAAAATTAATCTATTTTTATCTATTTCTTCCTATTCATATTACCTAAATAACAATTATAATAAATATAATCTATCTTGTTTTGTTTTATTTTTGACTCTACAAAATAAATAGAATCCATTTTCATAAAAATCAATTCTAACACTAATAGATTTTGCTACTTACCTATTATTTATCTTTGTTTTTAATTAGACTCTTTTATAAATAAATACTTTCCTTCTTCTTTCACCTCATGGCCATATTACTACATGACAGTGTCTCCCTCCATCTTCTCAACCATGTATGATAGGTAAAGTGTCTGCATAGCTGGCAAAGTGATTGCATCAAACAGACTCTAGTTTCACCCATATTCATCTCATCCTTGTCACGATTAGTCAAGACACAGGATCAGGGCTCAGCCAAACAGGGCGTTGCAAGAAGAAGAAGACGACGAAAGTTGCGGAGGAAATCAGCAAACTCGGCGATCACGATCGTCTTGTGTGTGTGTGTTGGGGGGGGGGGGGGGGCCTTAGTCTTGTCGGAGAATTGCAGCATTGTCAACTACAGCGATGCCGCCACAAATCAAAGTCGGAGCAGCACCGGGTTTATTGATCGAGTTGGAGGAGGAGAAGGCCCAGGATTCTCATTTCACATCGTCCGGAGTCAATCAACCAACCCCGCCGTCGTATCAGATGTGGAATCCCGGATGCTCAGATAGACACACCCCCTTTGTCTGCAACGTCGCTGTCGCCCCACGGGCTTAAATTCACGCCACGGTTCAATTCATCTACCCGGGTGGGCGTTATTCATACAGCGAAATCATGGGTAGCAGCGTTTCTCGACGTTTGTTGTGATCTGGGCGGTGGGCAGTGTGAAATTCCTGTGAAAGGCGGGTTGGTTTCGGCTATTGGGGACGATCCTAACGCTTCGATGATACAGTGCACAGCGATGGTGGGACTTGGGGCTTGACCTTTTTGGTCGTGGGGTCGAATTCAGTCTTCGCCTTTGGTTACCATCTGCAGCTCGTCGTCCGCTCGCCTGTGGAGGAGTGCGATGGCTGTGGACATGGCGAGGGTTTGCTGTGCTTCGCTTCTGGAATTTGCTTCCTCTTTTTAAATTTCTTCGTTGATCTTTGTACAATAGCTCTCAGGTCCGAGTGTTCAGTGTGCGCAAACATGTGGATGTTTGGATTTCGAGGGTATTGTGGGCGATTGCAATCACCATGTTAGTGGGCCGATCCTATGGCAGCTTAATTTAGGTCTTTGTAGTCGAGTGAGTACTGCTCTCATTCAAGTAATGTGAGTCGAGGTGATACAGTTACCGAAACGCAAACTGCCGGTGCTTATTCGGGAAGGGCTTTGGTGTCTGTTTTTGACGAGATAGCGTGCAGTACACGATGGGAGCCTGTGAGAGATGAAGGTGTTTCTTCTTTTGCAGAGTTTGTCGCATCTTTTGCTTTCTCAGCTGCAAGGATCGGGCTCTAGAGGACGGTCACAGCCGGTTTTCCTTAGACGCCGTTACGTGCTTTGACCATGGCCAGATGAGGAATCTCCTTGTATTTGTTGGTTGAGAAGGTATATCTCAGAAACGATGTACCGATGGTTTGGAGGACCTATGAATTCTATTGCACAATTTTGCAGTCTCGCAAAGTAGTACTGTTAGAAGGCAGATTTCAAGGTTTGTTGAGTATGGAATCGTTTTTAGGCACCAGAATAGCTGTAGTTGACGACGTGAGGTTGTGTGCCGATTTGAAAGGATTTTTCTTAGCGAGTGGAGGAATTTCGGACTGGTTTTCTATCAACCTTAGGAAGACAGTGATCGCTAGACGTACGTAGGTGATATAGCAGAGTTAACTTGAAGCTGGAAAAGCCCACGCCTGTAGAACATCTCACAAATGGCGCAGATGGGACGAGTATGCCCAATTGTTGTGACGTTTCTCGTAACAATCATCTTCGCGCAAGTGCATCCAGCATCAGCGCAGGATACCGAAACGCAATGCTTGCTAGATTTTAAAAAATCTGTTTCCGATCCACGAAGCCGTCTGGTTACATGGTCCGACGCCAATGTGAGCAGTATTTGTGAGTGGGTCGGCGTCACGTGCTTCAAACTTTCTACAGTGCCCGTGTACAGACTCGAGTTGTCTGGCTTCGGGCTTTCAAGCGGCTGGCCAGCTGGACTCCAAAACTGTCGAAGCCTTGCAACGTTGGATTTGTCCTACAACTCCTTCACGGGGCCTATCTCTACTACGATTTGCGATGACTTACCGAACTTGGTGAACTTGAACCTCCAGCACAATCGCCTAGGAGGCTCCATACCTGCAGGGTTCGGTGATTGTAAGTATCTCAACGACTTGGTTCTGAACGACAATGATCTTGAGGGGGAGATTCCAGGGCAGGTTGGGAACGCTCCCCGTCTTTCCCATTTCACTGTGGCAAACAACCAGTTAGAAGGCATGATTCCAGCCACGTTAGCCAACAAGGTCTCGAATGGGCCTGGAATCAATGCATCAAGTTTCGCCGGCAATTCGTATCTATGTGGGGCACCACTTACGGGAGCTTGCAGGTCGAAACCCCGGAAGAAATCGAATTTAGGCGCAATCGTCGGTGCCGCTGTGGCGAGCGTTTGTGGAATGATGCTGCTAATAGGGGTTCTCATCTGGGTTTTGAGGAGGCGGTTTTTGAAATCTCAGGTTGAGGACTTGAAAGGGGATGGTGGATGGGTGCGAAGGATTCGTAAACCTAGAGCCATCACGGTGTCGATGTTTGATAATCCGATTGGGAGGATTAAGTTTACGGATCTTATGGAAGCCACAAACGATTTCAGCAAGTCCAATGTCATTTCAACCAACCTCGCGGGGACTATGTACAAAGCCTCATTCCCGAACGTTGCAGTCATGGCGATCAAGCGGCTGCAAGTGAGCTCCCAAAACGACCGGACATTCAAGGCAGAGATGGAGACTCTTGGTCATCTGCGGCATCGCAATTTGGTGCCCCTGCTCGGATATTGCGTGGCAGGGGGTGAGCGCCTTCTCGTGTACAAACACATGCCCAATGGATCTGTTTGGGATCGCTTGCACCCCGCATCCGGCAAATCGTTCTTGAGTTGGCCTGAACGCGTGAGAGTAGCAACTGGAGTCGCACGAGGGTTAGGGTGGTTGCACCAAACTTGTAATCCTCGTATTCTGCATCGAAATGTCAACACGAAATCTATACTTCTCGACAGTGACGACGAGCCGAGGATCACCGACTTTGGCTTTGCGCGTCACATGAATCCCACAGACACTCATGTGAGCACCTTTGTCAACGGAGATTATAGAAATGTCGGATATGTTGCTCCTGAATACGTTCGCACACTCGTAGCCACTCCTAAAGGCGACGTTTACAGCTTTGGCGTCGTACTTCTGGAGCTTGTGACCCGTCAGAAGCCTGTGGATGTCGTCCCAGTCACTGGAAGCTTCAAAGGGAACCTGGTCGAGTACGTGAACATGCTATCTTCTTCGGGGAAGGCAGCTGATGCAGTGGACTCCTCATTGAGAGACAATGGCGTCGACGACGATGAAATTCTGCAAATCCTCAAGGTTGCAATCTCATGCGTGGCGGTAGAACCCAAGGACAGGCCAACTATGTTCGAGGTTTACCAACTTCTTCGTGCGATTGGACAGAAGTATAACTACACTGACTCGTTCGCTGAGCTTCCGACGCTGGGCGACTCCAACGGAGTTGATGCTGTGAAATAAAGGTTCGAGGATTCTCTACATGGCTTCGAAGTCTTGCGACTCTCCTCGAAAAATATGTCGACTTTCATTTGGTTTGATCTTCACTCGTGGATTGAACTTGTCGACGTCCAATTACAGGAATCTTTGAATGTGAGTACCCCAGAGAAACGGTGAGAAAGATTTTTTCAGTGTAACTTAGAAACTCTTGTGACTGCAATGTCTATTGCAAGGTATTATCTATGAATCAGTAACACATGTGTTGCACCGCAATCTACTCATGGTGGGTTGGCAACAGAATGTGGCAGTCATAGACCCCCAGGGAATATAGGTGAGAAGAGCCGCGTCCAGCGAGCGAGTAGATATTTGCCATTCCAAGGCTTACTAAAATATCAAGCTAACAGTGGAATAGACTCCTAATCCGTATGCAAGCTATAACGATATAAATCTGCTGAGACGAGATTTTTTTTGTATAAAGTTGCAATTGCTCGTTCTAGCAACGAAAGACCACAAAGTATGATCTTTGAATGACCTTGTAAAATTACGAGGGGTCAGATTTGGTTTCATCGCCAAATACCGGGAAGTCAAAGCTGCTCTAGTTTCATGGTAATTGAAGCTCAAATGGCCTTGTGTATGCATAAAAAGCGTCGTGGCTAGCTCAGTATGCTTGTGATTGGCGCGTCCTCCTCGAATGTGGAATCGCCTGTGGTGTGAAGTTAAGCTGCAGCTTCATTTGCGAGGACAACGCGTAAACACAAACTAGTCACACCTAAACCATAAATCCCAAGGGACCTGGTTCTACCTGTAGTTACATGCGGACATCCTGGGGTCAGAGATAGTACGATTTGCGCGAGAGACAGGCAAAGGCTCAGTCAAGAATGAGCAACATTTTGTGCCTGCTGGAGCGGAGCACTATTTATGCCTCTTTGGTGCATCGGAAGCACCACGTCTGTTTGAAATTTGCCCTATTCCGGGCTCTGGAGGAGAGCTCTCCTTTCCCCCATCTGTGTTAAAAATACTAAGCCAAAGCAACAGCTCACTCCGCGTAAATTATTCAGGAAGGCCAGTCGTACACAAACTGCTGAGCGATTGCTGAAAAATGCAGGAGAAGCTAGTTGGACCGTTACAAGTGTAGACAAACGTAAATAAGATAATGTGAACTAAAGCTGAGGAGGAACAGGATGCCACCTGTGTTCTAATTGGTAACGGAAGAGAGCGTTTTTAGCAAAGAATGAAATTAAACTGGGTACTTAAGTATTGTTTGTCAAGGATTTCTCCCAACAGAAAAACGGCTTGATTCAAACGTGATCTCATGCTCCTCACCATTTTCCAACGCAACCTGTTCAGATAACCATATGATCTTAATCGCTTGAAATTCATTCCTCACTGGCAGGACAAATGTCCACTAACGACAAAAAACTATACTAGTCAGTAGGGGAATTAACGTGTCTCATCTTCAAGGCAGGGCCGAGGTCGACATCTGACGGAACAGCATGTCTAGAGAGGGGATAAGCGCTGTAGTACATACAATGTGCTTTCAGCCAGGCTACATACCATCAACTTTGGACTTGCGGTACCAGGACTCGTCATCTATCCTAATCTTTCCTGCAACTGCAATTCTGTACTCTCTTTCACTCTTCTTTCACCATCGATAAATAAAATTTGAATGGACTATAATCCACGTTCTTTTTAGTTAAGCATGAAACTGTAAAATGATTCGCTGATAACCACAAGGAAAACCCTTGTTTATGTACATGAATCTTTTATTCTATTTTTAGTTCTTAACTATTAGTTGTCTCTGTAATAACCATGGGATTATTGGAGCAACTAGTGAGTGAATTGAAGTTGTGTCGATGATGTCAACATGGCAATGACGTCATTGTCTCTGAGGAGATTGTTACTTCTAACACCCTCCCTCACACTCTACATTACATGTTCAATATCACTCCTTGCAGCTGATTCCTCTCTGTGCATTCTTTCAAGATGCTCCTGACACAAATGGATAATTTATGAATGGTAATAGTCTATTCTTGATTCATCTTATTTTTTCTAGCACATTGACTAATTATATTGTTAACCTTAACGTTTCTTGTGATAAAGTGAGGTTTTGCTACTTGCTCTGAGGTGCTTCCTAGTTGTTCTTCACAGAATCATTGATTACTTCATGATGTTTCTATTTAGGAGACTTTAGAGGTTGTTGGCTTGTAACTCCTTTTGTTATGAAGTGGAGAGAGCTGACGATTCTGTCTTGATAGTACATGTCCCTTCTAAGTCGTGTTTGTCTTCAACTACAGTATCAATAAGTTTTATATTGTTAGAAAGGAATTTGGCCAAGAATATATCATACATGGAATGAGTATTGTCTTAACATTCATTGATTTATAGGTCTAAATACAAGTATTTTAGATCTCTAGCCTAGGCTGAGAGTTACTTAGGTATTAGGAATTGAGTTCAAGCATACAAAGATTCAAGGTCTAATTCTGCTCTATTGATATAGAAGCATCCCTAATGCAATAGTTTGGTTAAATAATTAATTTGTTGTAGTTTAGTCGGTATATGTGTTATAATTAAATATCCTATTTATTGTCTTTCTCTAATAAAATGATCTCAATATGCTTTGTTTGTACATAGAATACATGATTGTCTACCAACTTAATGCATGATTGATTATCACTATAAAGTTGAATTGGTGATTTATCAAAAAAGTAGAGTTCTTGCAATAACATGCATATATAGCAAATGTTCTTTGTAACTTTTGAGAAGATACAATATTTTACTTATATAGTGGAAAGAATAACAATTGATTGGAGTTTGCTAATCCAATCCATAATATTGCTACTAAGCTTATATAAAGTTCCTAAGATAGATTATTGTATATCTAAGTTGTGTCCAAAGTTAGAATCAATGAAGGTGAAATAATTTGGCCTTTATGTTGAAGGAAAGTACAAATTTTAATTTCTTATTCCTTTGAAATAGAATAAGATATGCTTTGTAACAATCGAATATACTTCTTTTGGTTTTTGCATGTATTTGCACACATTTTCTATAGCATAGTTAATGTCTACTCTTGTGATTATGGTTGCAAATAATAAACATCTAATGAATAATCTATATAGTTTAGGATCAATTAGCTTTATATTCATTTGTTTCTTGAGTTTGAAAGAGCAATGCATTGAGATAGAAAGAAGACTGCAATATTGTGTTTTAAAACGATCCAACATGGTCTAATAGAACTTTTTCTAATCTAGATAGATTTTGTAAGATTTATATTCTTTCTTAGCATCTAGGTAGAATTGAACATCTTCTAATAGTATCATTTTGAACTCAATGGTGAATAAGGCTTCAACTTTGTTGATTTCATTTTTATTATCTTTTATTAATAATAGATCATCTATGTAAAACAAAAGAATAATATATATTTTTGTTTTGATATGAGTAGTATATATTGCAATCTACAATGTTTTTATTTTCTTTATGAACTCTTTTTCTTTGAGATAGGTATCAATGCAACTATACCAATCTTAAAAAACTTGGCTTAGTCTATTCAAAGCTTTTAGAAGTCTACAAATTTTTTTTGATCTTGCTCTATAAAAACCAATTGAGACTTCCATAAAAACCTCTTCTTCTAATATCTAGTTAAGAAATATTGTCTTAATGTATATTTGCCCAATGCACCATTTTTTTTGTGTTGCCAATGCAAGTATCATGCATATTATTCATCAATGCACAACTGATGCAAATGTATCAAAATAATCCAATTCTTTTATTCATTCATTCTATAATATAACAAATCTTACTTTTAGTTTAAGTATTTTATATATTATACATATTTTGGTTTTATAAATCTATTTTATAAAAATAGAAAACTTGCCATTTAATAAGTCAATCAATTCCTATGTTTTGTTCTTCTTTATTGATTAAATTTCTTATTTTATTGCATCCCTCCATCTTATATTTTTTATTGCTTTTTTGTAAGTTAAAGGTTCTTTGTGAATTTTGTTAAGAACCCTTAGGAGATAGTTGACTTTATTTGCAATATGTACAAATTGTGTTTGTTCACACAAGGATCCTCCGCATGAGTATATAATATAATATTTGATATAAGTAAGTATTTACTTGAGAACTAAACATCACAATGAATTGTAATATTTATAATATTTGTAAGATCATTAGAGTTGTCAATTTTGAATAATAGTCGTATAGAGTGCTTTTTAGATTTTAGAAAGTTGGAATTTAAGAGGCTCATGTTAGATGCTAAAGATTGAATATTATTGCAATCACTTTGTTTCTTGAAAGTAGCTTCATCAATTCTTTCTCTAAAAGATCAACTGCAATTCTTATACTTTTAAAAATCATTCCATTAATTTCCAATCTTAATACTACATTACTTCTTCTAGTTCTTCATTCTATTGTAAAATGCATATTGTGGCCAAAATTGAACAACAAATCTTTTCTTTCATTGCTATGGCAATTGAAGCATGTGAATAAAGTTTGGCAAGAGTTTGTTGCTTTGACTTTGGAATGGCAGGCATTGGAGTTTGTAAGGCTTGACATATCCTAGATACTTGATAATTATTATTAATAATAAGGCAAGTTTATTCGATAGATTAAAAAATAAACTCTATTATCTTTTATTTCTTTTAAGAAAGGACTTATTTGATCTTTTTATTGTTATTATTTTTAATCAATCTTTATATAAATTTTTAAATATAAATTTTATTAAGCTCAGTGATAAAAAATAAATTCTTTGAAGTTTAATAACTTTGTACAATTTTGAGTCTACAAATGCTAAGTTCGTGTATGAATTTTGTAAATTTACCTTGATTCAATGACTTAGTCATAATGTTAGCAATTTGCTCTTATGTTGAGATATAAAATAGTTCTACTACTCTTGTAAGAATATTTTTAAGGATGAAATCATATCACACTTCAACATGTTTTGATCTAGTATGACATATAGGATTTTTAGCTATTTTAATTATACATTGACTATCACAAAAAATAGAAATTAGTTCAATTTCCTTTTCTTCAATTTTTTGCACAAGTATTCTTAACAAGATAGTTTCTTTGATGCCTCTTATAATTGCCTTTGTTTCTACATTAATAGATGATGTTACAACCACCATTTGTTTTTTGGATGCCAAAGAAATAAGTCCTCTTGCTGACTTGAATATATGCAATAAGTGATTTTTTATCATTTGAATTATTTATCCAATTAGCATTTGAATATCTTTAAATTTTTGTGTTTTCATTTGTTTAATAAAAATCTCAAACTCTAGTATTTTTTTTGTGTATCTAGGTACATCTTTTGCAACTTAAAGATGCATTTCTTTTACAAAATGTATGAATTAATTTAGGAGTCATGTGGCATATATTAAGTTTGGTCTTAAGTTTAATAGATAGATCATTTTTACAACAAGTTTTTGATAGTATGTTATATTGATGAGTGGTGATTTTATTTTTTTCTAGCTTCAATCTTTTAAGTATTGGTATTGAAACTCAATT